GGGAAGAGTTGCGAAGATTGTATGGGCGACTACTAGGGGTATGTGTTGAAATCCGAGGAAAATTTGAACTATGATTAATGCGAAAGAGGAGACAAAAGCCCGCTTCTAGTCTTCGAACCAATAAAAATTTTAGGTTAATTAGCTGAAATCTATCTGAGTAGGAGATATTGGGATGTTCCCTATCTAGAAGTTTTTTTAGAAAAACGTCTTTGGACATTTTCAATTTTTAAACGACTGGCTTCATTCATCAAACCAAAGAATGGGCAACAATACTCGAGAACGGGAAGTACAAACATACGATAGAGCCTTAATTTAGTTTCAGGAAGTTAGAAATTGTAGGAAATAAAGCCACAAATCTGGACAGCTTTGGCTGTAATTCTGTCAGCGTGTGGCGAGAGATGAAGATTACTAGTGTAGCTTAAACCTAAATCCTTGATGGCGGTACATTCAGTCATAGGTGTGCCTTAAAAGACCACCTGTTGGGGTAGCCTATCAGGTCCAAAACACATATAACGACATTTAGACGGAGAGAATTCCATTAGCCATTTGGAGCTCCAAGCGGAGAGAGGAAGCAAGTCAGCATGGATTTGCTCCAGGCCAACGGCGAGAATGGGGCTTAATACGGTGCGCTTGAAATCATTTGTTTACCCCAATGCCCTGTTCCGGTTGAATCGCAGCTGGTAGCCAGGAATGGGCAGAGAGATTTAAGGATCCCTGTCTTACGGGAATGGTGGGAAAGGGGGTTATATGAGTGGGGTAAATGGAAAGAGCTGATATGTGAATGCTGTAGTTTCTGACAAAATGTTAAGCTAAGCAAAGAATTGTGGGAATGTTTTAATGCGGTACAAAGGAAGGCAGAAAAAGAAAAAAATCTCGCGCCGAACAGCACACCCTGCGAAAAATAAAGAGCAAATAATAATAGGATAAGAACGCCATGGAGAAAAAAAAACCCCTCCATAAAAATAATAACAGAAAAAAGCGAGCAGGACTGGCCTGTAGGTGGCGGTATATAACGGAATGTTGTCGGCCATCGTCAGGGTAGCAATAAATGTCGAATGTGGGTCAGACAGGACTGGCTTGCATATGGCATTGTATACGGGATTCACAATTGAGATCGTCTGGGCCGGATTGGTACGCCGCGTCAGAAGAGGCCAGACGAGAGGAACCGAGATGCGATCGGCCACAGCACGCTTCGAGCTCGGCCGAGCAGTGAGGAAGGGAGGTACGACCGAACTACTAGTAGACAGTGAATACTGAGGGTTCCGCCGTGAGCGTCGACAGACCGCATGAGGTCGGAAGGCGGGAGATGACATCAAAAACCGCGAAAATTGTCGCTATGGTGGGGGGGAGTGATAGCAGTGGATTTAGAAACCAAATTAAAAACAGGGGTTCATAATGATATAATTAAGAGTTACCACTTAATCTACCACTAAATCCCAGGAGGACCCTTCTCGAAGTCAAGAATCTGAGTGTTCGGGAATGAGACCGTTAACAGTGCCTTTATGCTTTCCGGTGTAAGATGGTTGCCTTATTTCGACTTTAATACCAGTAACTTAGGCGATAATCTAATTTCAGGCGGAAGATTATTCCAAAGGAAGGCATATTTGGAAGCAAAGAAGAAGGAGCGCTTAGATGTAGTACAAAGAGGCGGCGGAATCACCATGCAGGAGTTGCGCGTGGCATAAGACCGATATCTGGGAGTGAGAGTGTCAATGTGCGGAAGGCTGGAGCTAGAGTTGATGCGAAAAAGGAAGCAAAGGCCAGCTTCGAGTCTTCTAACCCACAAAAACTTCATATTCGCCAGCTGACATCTCTGAGTATAAGAAATACTGGACGAAGCTTGAGAGAACAGTTTCCGGGTGAAAACCCTCTGAACATTTTCGATTTTATTACGGTCGCAGGCGTTCATTAAACCGAAGAAAGGACAGCAATATTCGAGGACTGGAAGAACAAACATTTGATAAAGTCTTAGCTTCATTTCCGGAAGGAAAAAATTATGCGATATGAATCCACATATCTGCGCGGCTTTGGCGGAGATTCTATCTGCATGAGGTGATAAAGCAAGTTTATTCGTATAACTTAGACCTAGGTCCTTTATGGTGAGGCATTCTGAGAGTGGGTTATTCTGAAAAATTATGGGACCAGGAAGTTTGGTAGGACCAAAAGACATGAAACTACACTTGGATGATGAAAACTCCATCTGCCATGTCGGATACCATCTGCTTAAGCGTAGTAAATCGGAATTAAGTTTTTCAACACAAACATTTGCGGTGTCCTTAGAGTATGAGTAAACACACTTGAGGTCATCGGCATAAGTAAAAGTTTGCGAATTTCCGAGTTCAGTCGAAATATCATTGATGTACAGAAGGAAGAGTAGCGGACCCAGAACCGTTCCTTTAAGTACGCCACTCGTGATCGAGTGGGGTGTCGAGTAGCTATTACCGAACATGACTTTCTGATATCGGTTGGACAGATAGGACCTGATGAAGTCGAGTAGAGGCGGCCGGATGCCGAGAGCTTCCAATTTTACTAAATGACGTCTATGGGGCAGCTTGTCAAAGGCTTTGCTAAGATCAAAGTAAATAACTACCACTGACTGCCGCTCAATATGAAGAGAAGTGATTAGATTAAGAAAAGCCAAGTGGCAGGTTTCGCAGGAGCGTTCAGGTAAAAATCCATGCTGACTAGAGCTCAGAAGCCGATTAGCTAGACAGAAGTCAAGAATTTCATTGAAAATAATCCTTTCTAGAAGTTTTGCTAGAGACGGCGTTTTGTGCACGCCCCGATAGTTATTAACATCGGACCGAGATCCTGACTTGAAAACGGGAATGATAATTGACGTTTTCCATGTTTCAGGAAAGAATCCTTTTGAAATATAAACCGAGAATAAATGACTGAGCAATATGGAAAGTCGGACGCTTGTTTAATAATCGAATTCGGAATCCCATCCGTTCCTGAGCAGTGGGAGTATTTCAAACGGCTTATGTGTTTCTTAATGAGATCTGAGGAGACGTCGATTGTACTAAGTGTCCTATCTGAAAGTGATCAAAAGAAAGGAACCGGATCGGACTCGGTAGCAAGGTGTTTTGCAAAGAAAGCACTAAACAACTCCGCCTTGTCAGTGTCATCGGTGAGGAAGACTTTGTTATCATTTAGCATGGGTGGAAGTTCATGACCACGCTTAGAGGAGGACCGATGACGGAAGATGTTAGGGACGGATTTGCCAGGGTTCGAACCACTGAGAGCAATTGATTTTCTTTGCCTGTCGCGCGCTTGGCGCATCCTTGAGGCCATCTCAAATATCTCTGTGATTCTAAGACGAACAGATAAGGAACTAGTGGATGGGTCACGCAGTTGTTGCCTCAACTTTTTTAGTCTGTTCTGAAGAAAATGAGGGACAAGGGAATCTGAAGAATTAGGCTTGAGATATCTACGCGGCACAAACTCTAGAATGTCCTTGGAAACATTGGACATGACATCACGAAGAATGGTTACATCGCTACAAGTGAGGAAGCCACACCAATCCAAGGATCTCATATAGTTATTTATTAAGTCGCTATCTACGCAGTCGTAGTTCATGAAAGTCTGAACGGCGCTTGTCTTTTTTGAAAAGGCAAGCGGTAGCCGTAACGGAATGGCCTGTGCAACTTTTTTTCATGCGGTCCTTCTTAAATCGTAGGGGAATATAGGGGCAAACCACGGAAATAGCGACAAACCTGAGTAATGCAGAGGGCCTTGTGCAAAATTGTGCAAGAGGCAAATATTCCCGACTCCTAACTCCAACACCGGTTTTTACTCAAGTCTTACCCCCATCCCCACGCCTTACTCTGATCCTCTATCTAACTTTAGGTTTAACTTTAAATTTAAGCCTAACACTTATCACTAAACTAAATCAGGGAGGCAAAAATCACTTTCCAATGCCGCTTGGATGTTTACCTGAAAGTATCTGTCTCGATTAATACCTTATGGGTCGGTCGCGTTCGTAACCTAGTATGTGGGATTTTGATGCTTGTGAATGAGGAAAAATCGCCCAATGTATGTTTGCGAAGATTCAATTTGCAAACTGTAATATCCGATTAAATTCGACTATTAAGTGAGGACCTTACTTAAATAATCCAGGCGAACACATCAGATCTGTCCTCCTGATAAGCCGAAATTCTTTCACGCTTTTACACTTTTCTGTCAGGTTACGCTGCTCTGTCTGCAGTGTTGACGTTTAAATTTGCCTGGCCTACATTTTTGTTTTTAAGATCCTTTATTTTTTCGTATTTTATACAAATTTTCTTAAATCATTTGGCGCGTTTATACGAACACATAATGACTTTTTTGATATGAGGGGATTTGACTTTGTCACCATTGACAGGAATGTGAATTTCCAACATTTAGGTCACCGGGATCGACCGATATTAGCATACTTTTATCACACATGTATAGTGGGGAAATGGCCCCAGTAATTGCTTCTTGTTTTTTTTCGATGTCAAAATTGACAGAATCACGTGATAAGCATATTTGGAAATTTAGGGATTTATCTTGCTTTTTGTAGTCAGACGCATGGCATGCTTTCTTTCATCTCATTGGTGCACTATGGAATCGACAAAACAACCTCCTTTATAAGAGAGCGTGTTAAAAATTGTTTGCAGAAGACCTCACCTTACGTGCCGTTCCAATTTTGAATGCTCAAACAATAACTTCATATGTGGCTTTTCGTGGGTATATTTGGAGCAGCTTTCTTTTGGACCAACATACTAGGTATCAGTCGATGCACTTCAGTGACCAATAATATATTTAAGATGCCCTGTGTATATGCACTTTTTCCTTGACAAAATTATGATATTCTTTAATGAATGCTTATTGGATTAGTCAGCTAACTCACTAACCTGTCTGTAGAATTATTCTAATCAAACATTTTGTAATGCTGTAATCCACAAAGAAACTGTTTAACCATATCCAATGCGTATGTTGGGTGCTTTTTTTGCCAGGTCAAGAAGAATTCCTGAAAAATGGACTGCCTTCAAATTGTGGAGTATCTACAATCACGCGGTCGCTGGCTAAAACCTCCTGGGGACAAAAGACAGTGGCCAAAGAAGATAGCTGGCCCTGGCACGTAAGTTGGCAGAGAAGTGACCGCATGGAAAAAAATTTGTTTGACTTCTAACAAGGACCCTGTTCCCAAAGGCATCAGAATACTCCTCCAAAATAAGCAGACGATGGACTATTGCGGTGCCCTAGCAAGCTCAACTTGCTTAATTGATCACGAATATATGTGTTACTCCCAAACATAAACCAAGTCCTTATTTCCGAAAGTCGCGAAACAGTCGGTACTATTGAGAATTTAATTATTTTAGAACGTTATCTCTGCGAATTCCAAATTGTACAAAAGCGAATTACAAGGAGAAGAATGCCAAAACTGTCATAGTGGCCTCGAGAAATATTACAAAATTAAGTCTGAAACCCAAAATAGTGACGCTGCAATGACTGTTTCTATTTCATCAGGTTGGGCTTTACTATTCCGCATTTGGTGCATATCCATTTTGCGGAGGAACTCTCATCTCGCCTACGTGGGTTGTAACCGCCGCTCACTGTCTCCTCATGGCCCTCCAATGCAAGAATGTTACACTTGGCCGACGCTTTTCGTTTGAACAAGAGACAGGCCAAACTATGACTGTCCTTATAGGGGCTCATAACTTCGAAAAGACGGATGGACCAGGGTACAATGTTCGGGTAAAGCACGCGATCATTCATCCGGATTTCCCAGTGGATGGAGTCACAAAGGGCCTCGACATCGCACTTCTAAAGCTAAATCGTGCAGTTAATCGATGTAGGTTTATACATCAGTACGCTTATTTCCTGCGCCCTAATTTTCTCCAAAATAAATTGATGCACTCGATTCTTATTACTGGTATCTGGCATGAAATATATCCACTGTTAAGGCGTTTTTAAAACTGTTTGCTTTGACATAGGAACCCAACTGATAAAGTCTTTAAAAGCTTCATGCGTCGAGGAGCTCCACCGCATTGAAATGAAACACGTAGTCGCAAATCATATTTTGTCAAGGTGTGCTGCACCGCCCAGTAGATCTTTGCCCATTGGCAAATTAGTATATCAGCATGAACCAGAATGACATAATCTTGTGCTAAGGGGCGAATAAGATTGCTGCTCTATGCTGCATCATGTGCAGGGAAGACAGGATGTAAAATAGCTAAGTACTAATGGACGACGCATTCCCCACAGGTTGCATTTGGGTGACTAACTGCAGGGCCATTCGACAAATTTCAGGCAAAACTACGACCTTCGTTTTCAAACGATCTTTTGCTAAGATACTGGTGGAATTTTCGATACTGTTGAAACTTTTATATCGCCAATTTATGAATCTTAATATGTACTCGAGTTTCCTGAGTCCAGCAGTATATCTGAGGTCGTGCCCCTTGAACGTCGTCCAATGTTTTTGTAGCGATCCTTTAAAGCGCATGTTGTAATGATGTCCGTATTTAAACCGTCCGATTTTAAAATAATCGTTTTTCTTGCAAAGCACACCATGCGTCATTTGCATGCCTGCCCGAAGATGGAGAAAAATTCAATGCTGCAAACCCTTGCTATGTTGCCGGCTGGGGACTGATTCCTAATCTTCATGGCAAACCTTCCCAAAAGCAGCCAGAGGTGCTGATGGAAAAACCGGCAACAATCACAGATATATCGCTCTGCGATCGGGTCTTCAAGTCAATTAACAAAAAAGTCCTCATTTGTACAAAGCAAGGACCTGTGGTAGGAAGTAATTTTACATTATACATTGGTCACATAGAACAAAATGTATCCCATGTCTTTTGCAAATTTAGACTTCTTGCGTCGGCGACAGTGGAGGTGGATTGCACTGCCAGGCAAAGGATGGCAGGTGGACAGTCTATGGTGTGGCCTCCTTCGCGCTCCCTGACTGCAGAGGAGAATACTACGTGGCTGCATCAACTGGTCATGCCATCAAATGGATCAAGGACACAATTGCAAGCGCCAATTAGTGATCTCTGATTAGCCTGCACGAACACATTGTGACAGACTGTGTTATGCCAAATGTTGAATCATCGTGCTACCAGTTGAACATATTCTTCCACATTCTTCAACAAATGATTATTTTGGATCAAAAAAATAAACACAATGCTGAAATCGAGCTAGAGCATGTTTTGGACTTACAAGGGACGGGACACAGACCTTGATGTAATTACTTTCTTGTGAATCAGTAGTCTGGAATTCAGGAGGGCTTGCAGGGAACAGTGCTTTACTCACCTTCAAGGCAGTCCCCAAAATGTTATTTAGGCCGAGCACGTTTCTCTTCTTAACCAGGCTAGAGATGCTGTCTACTTCATGCACTTAAAACAAAATGTATTGGCTTGCTGCCTAAATATTATCGTCTGACCCAATTAGACATCTAAGATTTGGAGCAGTCAAACACTTAAATAAGGAACGGATAAGAGCACGAGATGGAATCCACGTAGATATGTGGACGAAGATTTACATATAAGGTAATTTTTCGAACAAAATCTGTGTTGGCTATCAGGAAGGGGAAGATTCCGACATGTAAGATGCAGCTGCTGATTAACAAAGTTGTATTCAATGCTCCAGCATTTCGGATTTAATTAAATAACTTCGAGCACCGTTAACTAATACTGCTACAAGGTAACAACCGTATCGACTAAAAATATCGACACTCGCCTATAAGGACATAGTCCGCCAGCAGCAAAAGTCTTCGTGCATAATCATTACAAAATACTCATAACAGTGGTGAGCATTGGAAGCTAATTTTTGGTCGAACTAGTATTCACTTCCGAAAATGACCAGTATTCTAATATGGAAAACAAACCATTAATAAATTCAACAATGTTACTATGGCATTTATTTACAATTATTTCTCCACTATCACCGAGAAGGAAAGCAAATGGTGTGTGAACATAATAGGCTGTTATAACTAATATCGATCGTTGTACAAAGCCTTGGATTCGCAAATGCATAGCAACATGCACGGCTGGATTGTTAAAAGGCGGCGAGCACAAACATAGATCGAGTTTAAATTATTACTTCCTGCTGAATCGTGACACACTATAGATTACGTAAAAGAGATTTAACTTACAGCATCAGCGACTTATTTCATTGTGATTTTCATCACGCCGCTACAATTTATGCCTATGTAATGCTTTACAGTAAACTCCGTTAGTCGTGATCTCCTCGGGTTTTCCATTTATTCCGTCACTTTTCAGGCTAGATTACTTAAGTATAAATAAGCGATATGTAATAAACAAAGAGCTTTAAATTGGTAGCGTTAGTGAGTAAATTAATCAGAGAGACTATATAAGACCTCATCTAAGGTAGTCCCTCGAATAAGACCATATGTTTTACTGCAAATTTAGCCGCCCCGGCTCTTTCGTTCTGATAAAATAAAAAAAGGGTAACAACGGCCAAGGTATATTTGTGGCAGCGTTTACCTTAATACAGACATACAGTAGGTGGGTTAACTCATGAAATGCCAACCAAAATTCCGAAATGCGTTTTCGTTTCGAAAGGATTAATTAGATAGTGTTGTAAAACTAATCAGCAAAATAATTCTATAACATTTCAGTTACCCCAGGATGCCGGCTTTCGAATGAACTCCCTTCCGGCTGCATACAAAGACTACACTCTTCAAAATATGACTGCTTATGTAGCATGAATTTCTCTTATTGATGTTCGGTGCACCTAAAAGTCAAATTATATTTCATGGAAATCATGCATAAAAATGTAAATTCTTTTGCTAGTTCGGTAGATAATTACTTCAGTTAATTTTATGCACGAAGGAAAGACGTAATTTTATTTTGAAAAATTTCTAATTGCGGTACTTTGAAATACCGTAAAATGGCCGTTCATAAATCTTTAAATCTCTGCATTTACCAATGTGGCTTGCAAAGTTAACAATATGTTTCAAATCAACCGCTTACTTTTGTGAACCCTATATGGTCCCCTTTATTACCGTAGAGAAATCTGTGGTTTGCCCTACGCAGAAAATATACGGCCTGTAGATTTTAAACCCTGAATCCAAGTGTGACGTCGAGCAAATTCAAAATTATTCGGAAATGTAAATGCATTTCTGAATTTCGGTTGACGTTTCATGAGCTAGCCCACCTACTGTATTTAGTCGTTTGGATGACAGGGGATCTGCTTTTATGTACCTCCGTTCAATATCCACTTGATTGAGTATGCGTTTTAAATCAATTTAACGATTTTGTCCAAATCACTTAGTCAATCGATTTTACGTTACGTAAGTCAAGTGAGAGTTCTACTTACATAAGCATCTGCTACATAATTTGATGCGAATGATGTCAGGTGAGGTGAAATTCGCTAAGCAAAGCTTTCAATTTTGCAAATGTAACCCGATAGCCGCATAAAAACACACTGAAAAATGTTGGTGCGGGGCAATACGAGAAAAATATCTCATGCTAAGGAACGCTGTTCGGAAACGAGGTGTCTCTGAATAAATGGGGGGATGTCCACTTGTTTACTGGATTTCATTTACCACCGTAAAACTCTCGTCTGAACTTACGAAGTTAACGCTGCCTCTGAACAGCCGGACCATGTGATAATTTAACAAAAATCTTGATAGAACGCGTAGCGGGGCCGGAATGTGTTAGTTATATTTTCGGCATATCCTGACTCCACGTAAATCTGTCCTGAGAATATAAAATGGCATGACGGCATTTGGTCGTTAATACTTTGATGATGCTTACCGAGCAGCAAAATAAAATTCATACACGTTAATGCCGAAATTTAGCTCAGAAGCACCAGTTGACCCACTTGCTCGAAAGGCTGTGCTGCGACGAAAATAAAGACCGAATTAAACATATGCTTCAAAGGCAGCTGTCTATATCCTATGACAGTAGGACGTACTTGGAATACACTAGACGATAATTTTGCCAGTGCATTTAGACGATGCTCTGTGACGAGTCTGAACACGTTGGCGTACTCATCGAGCAGAGAGAAAAAGAAAGATAACGGTTACTGGTAATATAGATTAAGCTGGATGTGTTTATGCAGCCCCACCTAATGGGCACAATACTGTCGGGAGATTTATCGTATAACCCATATGTATAAAAGTTCCGGACTGTGATTTCAGCGCAGAAAACACCAGCATGTGTTTGCGCCTGGTTGTAAAATTAGTCAACCACAAACTCCCTCCAACATCGGCTGCCATCGCGGCACCTCCATAACTTGCGTAAAATCAGTTTAAAAGTGAAACTTAAATACAGAATATTATTGATCATCATAGCATCTAGTTTACACAGTTGAGTAAAATAAATATGTTAACAATCTTAACGTCGGTTGAAGTTTATGATCGCACGACTAAGTGAGGAGACAGAATCAGTAAGCATAATTGCCACAACGGTTTGCCATCTGCAGAGTCGGATAGTTAATATGCGCAAAGCAAATACTCCAATAGTATTCAGCCGAAGTCAGGGCCCATTTCGCTCAAAGGTTGCGCAAGCACTGCGTTCAAACAGAAAGATTTCACCATAATAGTCTTCAATAAAACATCTTATTGCACCAGACACAGGCTGCTGTTCTACGAGAACAAATTCACCACAATCACGAGGGACGACGCCGCCCTTCTGTGTAAGATCTAGCGTCGACAACTTGAATAAGAATTTTTGTGAAGGCCTCTACGCTATTCCAGCGTATGTGTCGGAGCCCGACAGAATGATTTTACTTGGTCATAACGGTGTCGATGTTGGCACAACCCATGTTTTCTGGGAAGGAACGGTACGGGATATGCATTTAGAGCAGCAATAGCCTTCTTCTGCGAGCTTGCGTCGACCATGATCTCTACTTGACGTGCAAATTCTGCCGTCTGCCGATCAAAGACGACGAGGATGCTCTAATGCTCACTCCACTGCCGGTTGTTGGAAAAAATCCTTGTTCGCTTAGTTGCGCATTTCGAAGTGCCGGCATCAACACTGACTTGAAATTTCGCGCTTGCCGATTATATCACCATGGCATATCGGCAGTCTGCGTTCTCCTTGTCTTTTAGCATGAATAATCGTCTCATGCTCATAAGACTGCCACCCTGTTTTATTACATTTGCAATCACGACAGTGGGCAACGCTAGGATCGAAAACCAAAACAAGATTTGCAAAAAACCTGCACATCCCACTAACGAATGTATCGCACGCTGAAAGACTGATTGCACCTGGTAATTACAGTGTCGTTGTTGGCACAATTTATGCTCTCTGGAAAGAAATGCTACGAGATGTGCGTCCAGAGAAGTAGTAGCCATCTTTTGCCAGCTTGCGTCGACCATCGTCTCTAATTGAAGAACATGTTCTGGCGTCCCCCAATTCAGAAGAAAACGCGGATACTCCTATGCTGACAGTACTGTCGTTTGCTGGGAAACATACTTTGTCATGAGAATCAGCATCATGAAATGCTAGCAGAAACACTGCGCTGGAAGCTTTCACTTGCCCATTTTGTTTTCTCAGATTGTTTGGTTCCCACGGAGGCCTCGTTTCTCTAACGAAACTCAACTCATTAAAGTCACGATTTAGTTATCTGATTTTTTTCTTTGTATGATATGCTTAAATGTCCTTGAACCCTGGGCGATGCCTGCTGTTTAGTGGTGTTTTGAGAGTTGACGGATTGGTTAGCAAGAGGTACACGCTATTTGGCTGGCAGATCATACATTAGTCTATCGCACTCATTTTTGCTCTCGTGTATGAACATTTTGCTTGATGAAATTGCGTGGACATTTATTCCCAAAATGGTACACAATTCCTTTTAGATGCTGGACAAGCAAGTATAATGGCCAGTATGTAAGATAGTCGGCAATTCTTATATTGGTTCTTGTCAGCTGGTTTCATGAGATAGTTCACGTACCGAATATGCTCGGAATGGGAATTGATATGAATATTTTGGGGAGATCTCCATCAGCCAGAGGCATGTAGCTAGTACTTGAGTTGTCAATTTTGGTAGATTTTGCTGTCTTTGTACATCTGTTAGCCAT